GTTGGGCTACGCCAAGGTTTTTCTTGACAATGCTTTCGTCTCCAGGAGGCAGTGCCTGGAGACGACCAAGCGAGGGACTCGACTCGCGACCCACCTAATCCCCCCATTGATACGTACACCTGGGTCACTGATTATTACCGCATATTGCTCAGATCGTGCCCCCCCCCCCCCCCCCCCACAAATTCCTTACCCGACTAGACGAGACAGGTTGGAGAAAACTTCAGACACTCTCTTTTCTCAAGCTCTTCCCCATGCCACTACATTTTTCCCGACAGATACCGGTGCGAATGCCCGGGCTTTCACTCCCCCGAACCCACTCTTTACCATTGCACCTTGGCCTACCCCACTCCGGTCGGAGTGGGGATCCCGACTCATTCCCAATCCATCTCAATCTTCTTGGGAAGCCGCTATGCCCGCCTCACATCCCGATCCGCAGCTCGTACTGCTCGATGAGCTAGGCGGGTGGCTCAAGCCTGCTGGGCCCTGGATCCGACCACGAGACTCAACGACACAAACCCCATCTCAATAGAGTTTGGCCAACCACGCAGGACGCACTTCTACGCGTAGTGCCGTCGTGCACCACGTGATGGCACCGCACGGTGCCGGTGCAATCAGTCATGAACAAGTGGTTTAAGTGCCATGCATTCGATTTTCTGTTCGGCACACCTCCCCTTAAATAGGGCGAAATGACGTGAGCGCGAGCTCTCTTCCTTTCGCTTCAAAGACGGCCAGCGAGAAGCGCAATACGTATCGAGCTCGTGCCGTCAGTAGTGCATGAACGGTCAAGGGTACTGTATCTTCAAATATTTATGCTTAATGGCCTCAATGCGTGGCAATCTCGCCTGCACGTCATGTCTCGTTAGTATGGACCCCGTTTATATGGATTCCCCGCTATATGGACACCGCTTGCGGGGACAAACTGAGGAAATACAGGGATTTTTGTCTCGTTATTATTAACAACTCATATTATGGACGATTTTTCACGGGAAAAGAATAGTCTATAATAACGAGACATCACTGTAGTAATATCCGAGGGCGAGAGCTCGAGGTCGCTGCTTTGAAGCGTTCTTCCGCAGAAGAGCGCTCGCGCTAGAAAGGCATGTCTCAAAGCCAGGAGCAGGGGCTAGCTCACTATTGTAGTCTTGATTGTAATCTCAGCTTATCGGTGGACGTGGTACAAATGAGTGAGCGTTCTCCGCTATTTCATATTCAGGACTAAGTAACTCCACAAGCGAGCCAGACTGCCGCGAACTGGCGCTGCGCTTCGGGAACTTATGACGTCGCGTCATTCCAACCGAACTTGAGAGATAACCACAACACAATTATGAAATATGTTCATTTGGTTTGAAATTTGTTTTATTGAATCCTCTGTTTCCAGCCCAGAAACCCTATTCTAGGTTAGTTTTTCTGGGCTGCCGGCCCAATATAAACCACATCGAAACAAAGAAATAAGGGCAAAACATTTAGTTTCCGTACCCCTTTAAAGCCACCATAACAGCGCGCTCGAGTCTCCTCCTTTCCCCCACTTTTTCGGCGCACAACTATAGACGCTTTACACACGCGCCAGAATACAGCCGCCATTGCTGACCTTCTCTTGTTTTACCAAGATACCGAGCCACTGAAATTGGTGTGGACGAGCCTCCACAAAAGCCAATGCTGGGGAGAAAGACAGAATAAAATCTAAGATGGCAATAACCTGGCCTGCTATGGTAATAATGAAGTGAAGTAAACGTAATAAGGGGAAACAAAAACTGAAGGTCAGTTATGGCGGTGCCCATGCACAGCTGCTGCAAAGCGTCTACACCCCTGTCAGACGGGCTAGTTTGGTGTCACTACAAGCGAGTGCGCTTCGCCCTTAGTGTCATTTCTGTAGTGTGCCACACGGCATCTTCCTGAGGAACACACTTGGCTTGGAGTGAGTTTGACGAACTCACTTCGCTCGATGGAGTGCGGGGCTTCAATATGTGTGTTTCAACAGTAAAACATAACAACTCAGAAACCAAAAGGGTGGCGTAAGCATTATTTTATATGAAAGAGAGGACATGCAGAAGAGTGGCATTGCAAAAAATGGTGGGGTGGACTTGGAGTTAAGGCTGATCTGAACCAAGATTAGCGCAGCGTGAATTGATAAAAGACGAAGACAAAGTCAGTAATTCAACGGCTGTCTTGGTTAGCAGAGAATGATAAAGCCTACATTTGTTTCAGCATGTAACTATTCGAGACAAAAGGATAATTATGATGTAATTAGGCAGTTTCAGGACCTCCTCGTAGACTTCCATGGAACGAAGCAGAACGCCAAAGTTGGATATGCTTCGTTCTTTATTTTGGCTTGCGATGATCGATGAGAATCATCCAATTGGCATAAAAATCGTTTATTAATGTAACGTTGTTTTATAGCACAGCTCCTAGGAGCTCGTTTCAGAGTTGAGCGGCGTCGGCGTAACCGCGTGTTGCATTAAGTACTGTTTCCCAAAACCACGCCACGTGTGACGTCACGAGGGCAAAATTTTCTCGCTAAATTTCGCGGTAAAAGGTTTTGCTAAGCTTGGTGGAAAATTTTTCTGCTAAAATTATGGGGAAAATTTCACCCGTGTGACGTCGCGTGACGTCACACTTACAATTTCAGGTGTCGTGTCATATGACGTCACACGTCAATTCAGCGGGAAAATTTCCTGGCTTAATTTGGCGGGAAATTTAGCCAAAGTTTTACGCTAAGTGGGATGGGAACAGGAGAGGAGGATGGGAGGGTACGGAGGGGGAGCAGCTGGCATACCCTCCCCTTCGTACCCTTCCCCCCTCCTCCTCAAGAGCTGTGCTCCAATTCGGCACTACAGAGAATTTTAAACGTCTAATTTTTTTAACGTGTCTTTATTAAGGGGTATCGGTGGCCAAGTGGGCTAGCGCACACCAGATCGGAGTACGTGGAGAGAAAGCTCACGCTGGAGAACCCAGTGATCCTGAGCTCAATCCCCAGCCCTGCCCGAAGAACACACATCCAATGAAGTGAGTTCGGGGAGCACACTACGCTCGCTCCGGTAGACCAAGTGTGTAATCTCGATAGCAGTGTTCAAGGAGTAAAAATAATAGAAGAAATTAACGCTGCGTAAAATTAATATTATTTTGATAGGAGTAATATTAGATACGCACTTGTTTTTGATTGGCAGGAAAGTTGTTCATTGTAGAAAAATAAGCCGCTAATTTAGTTTCCAGCCTTGGCCCCTGCGCGACGGCCAGCGACGGCCAGGAGGCACCTGCAAGACTCCACCAGGAATCTCAAGGTGGCAGAAGAGACGCGAAAGACTTTCTTAAAATGGTACTCGCCCAAATAGGGCAAGGTGTCTTCAAACCACAGTTCGTTCCTCTGGAAAGTCCACCGTTCTTGTCTGATCACCGGTAGGTTGTCGGTCATGAGAGCGGGTGGCTATGTTGAAGGCATTAACCTGCAGTTGCTCATCGATGTCATTTGAAATTCTTGCCTGTGCGTCGGCATTCAGGTCCAGCTGCCTCTCATCTGAAAGGCGTCGCGCTCTCACGGAGAGAAGTGCCCCAACCACGCTCGTCCACTGTTCAACATCGCGGATATCGCCCTCCCGCTCGTCCTCCACACACTCATGATCTTTCGTTGTGGCGAGTGGCGAGTGGCCGAGTGGGCTCGCGCACACTAGCTCGGAGCACGCGGAGCGAAAGCTCGCGCTGCAGAACCCAGGAATCCTGGGTTCAATCCCTACTTCTGCTCGTTTCGCTCGTTTCCATCTGAATGAGCATTGTACCGGCGTTCGGACGTGTATCACTGGCTTGTAATGGCTAATCGTAATTGTCAAATTGGATTTAAATTTGGATTGAAGCTCGTGACTTAGCGCAACAATGTGTGGTAACGTGTTTCTAATAAGTCGACGATGTTATTTATGAAAAAATGCGTATGCACTGTAATAATTTGCGTGCTTATTACTTACCCATCGTCATTGCCATCATTTTGGAGTGACACTAAGCTTTCCCGTGTAGCACCATTACACTTGGAGTGTGTTTCGACGGGTTGAAGTGCACTCGCTTGTAGTGACACTAAACTGGCCCGTCTGACAAAGGTATTACTGACAAGGTGAGAATGTAAGCGAAGCACTTCAGTTGTCCCGCCGTCAGCGCGAGCTTTTTACTCTCGAGCTCCCGCGTGCAGCCAAGCATGGCGGAGGGCACGGAGCGTACGCTGGAGCCCGGGCGTTCAAAAGAAATGTGTTGCGTTCTCATTTTGTCAGTGACTATAATTCGAGAACCACTTGAAAATATGCGGGAAACCAAGCAGCTTAACTCTACTTCTGTCATAAGATATATTTATAACGGGACGCCTGAATTTAAGAAACGAAAGCATTTTTATAGCAGATTCCCCCTTTAAAATGTTATATGTAACACTAAGCACATGTGCGCGCATAGGAGTAAAATAAAGAAGTACATTGAAATCTCGGATTCCAAAGAAAGTGTGAGACTAACACTCCCCCACTCTGCCTTAGTGGAGGCTTGTGACGCGATAGCTGTTACGTGCCGTTCTCTTCTCTTTATTCTGCGACCCACGCAGGTTGCGCGAGGAGGCGTTCACTAGAGGTGCCACAGTCTTCACAATGCCTCGCAGAACGAAGGGACGGGCTAAAGAGGAGTTAGCGAAACAGAAGCCGCGACGGGCTGAGGATGACGGTTTGTATTGAATGAAGATATATGAACTTTTTATGCTTAGTCATTCGCTATAGCGTTCGTCGGGACTTATTCAGCGGAATATAGTCTTCATATACACCTCGCAATGCCTTTTCATTTAGACAAAGCGTGTAACGAAGCACCGGAGAAAGACAGGTTATTTTTTTAAGCGTAGGTCCCATTAAAACTGTCTCAGAGCTTAACCTGTGTCCGCCACTGGACATGTGTTACAAAACGATAATTATAATCAATGTAAAAACTTAGCGGCCAGGCGAAACACCTTGATGTTTGACGTAGTTATGTTGAACCGAAGTACTCACCACACATTTCTGTCCGTTCGGTAGATTCGTATCGCTAATTTCATATTCCGAACTAGAGCAAGCTTGACGGCACTCCGTTGCTATTTCCTAGAAAATGTGTTAAAATGAAAATCAACATATGATGCAGTGTAATCGTGAAGAAATAAAACAAAGATATGCCACGTATTAACATTAAAAACGGGCGTGTTGGTAAATATACTTAAACAACCTAAAATAATAAACAGTTTTCGTCCCGTTTTCGTGTTTATTATTTCCGGCTGTTTGAATACCACGTATATTCATATATATTTTTACTCCTTTTATTCTGATTACATTTCACTTTTTTTCTTTATAAATTAGTCGCAGAAAACAGGCATTACATTAGTTCACACAAGGCAAAAGCTCACGTAGCAAGGTCCTAAGGTACCTAAGGTTAAATATCATGTATAATCGCCAACTATATATTGTTCTTATACCTCTAGTTAAAAAAAATGTTTGTACTTTAATTCTTTTGGTGTCTATATTTTCAGTTTAGGTACCATTTCTAGTGACTTGCAATTTTGACGAGTTATTTTCTAGAGATACTTTTATGAAATGTTTAAACATTTAATAAAGGACTTTTTCTGCAGCGAAGGATTTGAATGGTGGAATCCTATCATGGTTCGGACGGTTCATAGCTTAAATGTTTAATGGCAAGAAATATGGAAAATGGCGATAAAAAAAGTGAAAGCCGTTTACAAATCCCTGTAACGCCGAATTGGAGCGCAGCTCCTGAGGAGGAGGAGTGAAGGGTACTGAGGGGAGGGTAGACCCCTCCCCCTTCTCCTCCTCCTCCCCTCATTCTTTAATATGCTCCGGGGGGGGGGGGGTGTCACGTGACTTCGGGGAGGGGGTCACGTGACCTCGGGGAGGCGTGACCTGGGGGTGACCTCAAGGCCACGTGACCCCAAAGGTGACCCCCACGTGACCTTGGGGTCACGTGACCTGGAGGGGTCACGTGACCTCAGAGGGGTCACGTGACCTCAGAGGGGTCACGTGACCTGGGGGTCACGTGGGGTCACGTGACCTTGAGATGACCTTGGAAGGGGTCACGCGACCTTGGGGGTCACGTGACCTCGGGGGTCACGTGACCTTGGGGGTCACGTGACCTCGGGGGTCACGTGACCTCAGAGGGGTCACGTGACTTGGGGGTCACGTGACCTTCAAAGGGTCACGTGGGGTCATCTTGGGGTCACGTGACCTTGAGATGACCTTGGAAGGGGTCACGTGACCTCGAGGGGTCACGTGACCTTCAGGGGGTCACATGGGGTCACGTGACCTTGAGATGACCTTGGGGGTCACGTGACCTTGGGATGACCTTGGTTACGCCGACGCCGACGGCGACGGCGACGCCGACGCCGACGGCGACGCCGCTCAAGCCGGGAACGGGCCCCTAAGAGCTGCGCTCTAAAATAAAAGACGTTCACAATTCCCTGTAACGCCGGATTAGAGCTCAGCTCATGAGGAAGAGGAAGGGAGGGTACGGCGAGGAGGGTATGGCCCTACCTCTCCTCCGTACTCCTCCTCCCGTCCTCCCCCTCCTCCTCTCTCTCCCCCTCCTGCATCCTCCTCTCATTCTCCTCATCCCCCTCTTCCCCCACCCTCCCTCGTGACACTCGTGACGTTGCTCGTGAAGGTCGTGACATTTTACGTGACCTTCACTGTGAAGGTCGTTACTCTTGTCGTGACCTTCACGAGTGACCTTCGGGACGTTACTCGTGACATCACTCGTGACCCTAGTGACCCTCGCGACGTCACTCGTGACCCTCGTGATGTTGCACGTGACGTCACGTGTAACATGATTATGGGAAACGTCCCATAATGCAACGTGCGGTTACGCCGACGGCGACGGTGACACCGCTCAAGCCCGTAACCTGCGCCTAAGAGCTATGCTTTAAAATGCTGTCGTATGGCATCTGAGAATTGTCACGCGTGAAGAATTTCGGGATGATATGAGAGGCCTAATTGACGAAAAAAAACTTTCAGCTTTTCCACTCTGGTGGAGAAGGAAGACCAGCGAAGCAGCACTATGGTGGGAATGAAGTAATGGCCGGCCTCGAGTCGGCAAGCCAGAGTGGAAAAGGTGGAAAGGCTGACGCCATCAATGAGCGTCACTGATAGATGGCGGTAGCTGTCCATAGTTTTGTGGCATCATTTATTTGCTGCCGGACACGACACTGGGGAAACTAGCCCTTAAAAGCTCCGCTGTAAAAAGCTTTTGGCTCTCATTAAAAAGAAAGATGATTTACAAAATGCACCTTTTAGGTTGTTTATACCAGAGGCTGTCTGAATAGGTGGAAAACACTGTTTCATGAGGTTTAAGGATTTGAGATATAGTTAATAGCTTAAAAGAGCTCTATTTTCTCATTCGTAAAATCCGTATACTAAGAAAGATATCACAACGTGCCTTGCACTTTTTTTTTTTTGTTAAGATAATATTTGGCTGGAAGCCCCAGAATATTTGTGGTCTGGTTACTAATAGCTTAAGGAAGGTAGGGTGTGGGGAGTTCCGACCATCTTATAATTGTTCCGCAGTCAATGAGATTATTGCAATTTTATGGATCATCAGGCAAAGAGGGGGAGACCTGGGCTGAGTCAGAAAACCTTGTTCTCGATATCTGCTCTGCGCAACTTGGTTTACCATTAGAACCTGGCATCATTGAACGCGCCCACAGGATCGGTCGTTTCGGCCCGATTAAAAGCCGCCCTATCATTGTAAAGTTTTGCGCAACAAAGCAAAAGGACTTAATACTAGGGAAAGCTTACAAGTTCAAGGGTACCACGTTTTCTGTAGGCGAAGACTTTTCCCCTGCCGTGCGTGAAGCTCGTCGAGAACTCCTACAGTTTGCCAGGCCCCAAAATAAATCGTTTAAACTAAAATTGAATAAACTTTCGATAGGAACGCAGATTTTGTTTATGACCCTGAAAGCAAGAGGGTTGTGGAAGACAGGATTCATAACATCTGTGTGATCGAGACTCACCTCGGTGCCCCCAGATTAAAAAAAAAAAAAAAAGTTCTTTTTTTGTACTTTACACTAACATAAGAAGTATACTGCCAAAGCTTGAAGACCTTCATTTATTAACTGACTCTTGTGCTGCCGACTTTGTTTTCCTAACGGAAACATGGCTAAGACCTGACATAAAAGACCCTGAAGTGTTTCCCACGAATTTTAATTACAATATTTATAGGTGTGATAGAGAGTTCCGACGTGGGGGTGGAGTACTAATTGCTGTACGGAATCATATTGTAGTTTCTTTAGTTCAAGTTCCTACTTGCCTTGAAATGGTATGGCTACAACTGCATTCTCCCTCCGCGTGTATCTTTCTTGGTGTGTGCTATAGACCGCCCGACTTTGTTAATGGTTTTTTTGATAAGCTTCATGACGCGCTCTCTTTCATCTTCAACCAATCCCGAAACGCATCATGCATTCTCTCAGGCGACTTCAATTGTCCTTACATCATTTGGGATACTCTTTCGTTCTCGACTCATATTTCAGGAGAACTCATAGACACATGTCTTACATTTAATCTATCGCAGCTGATTACTCAACCTACCAGATCAACCCAAAGAACAAGTCATATTTTCGATCTATGCCTCACTACTGACACTACACTTGTTAAAAATATAACATACCACCCACCCATTAGTGACCATGACGTAATTCATTTCAACATTGAACTTGAAACTCAGCGGAAATCACCATATTTTAAAACCATTAAAGACTATAATAAAGGTAATTACTCCGCAATTAACAATGAGCTTGAAATATTTTTCGATAGTTTTGAGCATGACTGTATGAGCAGGACAGTCGATGAAAACTGGATTCTCTTCAGAAATAAACTTGCACACCTTGCCCACACTTACATCCCATCAATAAACATAACTTGTGACAAATCAAATCTCTGGTTCACAAAAACGCTGAACCGACTAAACAGAAAAAAGAAAAGACTATTTAGCCGTACCAAACAACTGACTACCGATCTCGCTTGGAAGCAGTACAATGATATTGCTAAAATTTATAAGAAATCTATTACAGAGGCGAAGGCAAAATTCTTTAGCAATGACTTAGTAAGCATTCTTCGCAATAAACCTAAAAAGTTCTGGGAGGTAATTAATCCAAAAACGTCTAGACCTGTACAACTAATGAGCGATGATCGGTTGCCATTATCGGATGAAGAAAGCGCACACTGTGTTAGCGACTACTTCGCCTCAGTCTTCACCACAGATGACCACAGTAAGATGCCTCATCTTAACAACGCATATCACAGTCCCATGGCTGCCATTGAAATAACGTATGCAGGTATCATAAGCTCTATAGAAATGTTACAGTTGTCGTCGAGTTCTGGGGACGACAAAATTAATTCCAAATTACTGAAAAACACTAAATTACACTCAGCTCGTTTTTTGTTAATTATCTTCCAACAATCTTTGTCTTCCGGCGAGCTTCCTACAGATTGGAAAATTGGCAGAGTGGTCCCCATACACAAATCGGGGGATCAAACTTCACCACCAAATTATCGTCCTATATCTCTAACCAGTGTCCCCTGCAAGCTACTTGAGCACATAATATATTCAAATGTTATGAAGCATTTCGAAAATAACCTCATCCTCTTTCCAAACCAACACGGGTTCAGACAATCATATTCTTGCGAAACGCAACTTGTACAACTTGTTCATGAGATACACAATAACATCGATAATAACATACAGACAGACGCCATATTCATTGATTTGTCTAAAGCATTCGATAAGGTATCCCACGGTTTACTCATGCTCAAGATAAACCAACTTCACATTCCTCCACTCGTAACATCATGGATAGGACAATTCTTAACCAATCGTACTCAGCATACTGTTATTAACAACCAGTCGTCAGCTTATTCTCCTGTATCATCCGGAGTCCCCCAGGGCAGTGTCTCGGACCTCTGCTTTTTTTAACATTCGTAAATGACCTACAAGATCGCATAACATCCTGTATTCGACTTTTTGCTGATGACTGCGTAATTTACCGATCTGTATCAAACCTGAACGATAACATAACCCTACAAGCTGACCTTAACCTAATAGCCGACTGGTGTAAACAGTGGAAAATGACAATTAACTTTTCTAAAACACATCTCGTTTCCTTCACGCGTGCTCATAGTCCTCTTTCTTTCACTTACACCATGTGCAGCCAGGTCATTACCAAGTGTCCATCTTACAAATATCTGGGTGTTCACTTATCTGACGATCTCTCATGGAACACGCATATAACACACGTCCTGTCTAATGCTAACCACTCTCTTGGTTATCTTCGACGAAATCTGAAACTAGCACCATCATCGGTTAAACAACTAGCCTACACTACACTCGTAAGATCGCAACTTGAATACGCGTCATCCATCTGGTCCCCTTGGCAACATTCATTGATAGCAAACATAGAGGCACTTCAAAAACGCGCAATCAGATTCATTTTTTTCAGATTACTCACGAGACACCAGCATCACTTCTTTACGAATGAAAGCTAACCTTGATCTCCTCTCAACCAGAAGGAAATTATCACGCCTGTCTCTTTTTCACAAGATTTACTATCATAACCATGACATCAGAACTTCACTATTATCTCCAGCCACTCGCATATTTCCTCGCATTGATAACGTCTGTAAAGTTCGTACAATTTTCGCCTCGTCAGTTTCGTTTCTTAACTCCACCTTGCCATTCACAATAACGGACTGGAATAGCCTGCCTAACAGTATCGTGACCCAGACAGATTATAATACATTCATATCCCAACTGACCATCCATCTGCATTTGCACTAATAGCAAAGTCAACTCGTGTTTATAGAAATGTTTTATTTGGGTATTTTTTGTTACATCAGCTGTTTTTCCCTAAAAATGTTTTAAGTGTTTTTTTTTTCCTGTTTTGGCTGCTTTATATAACAAAGTTTTCCAGCATGTAACCCACTTTTTTGTTTGTTCATTTATATAATGTTTCTTCAGCAGTTACTCCCACCTTGTGTAATGCCAGCATTGGCCTTCAAGGTTTAATAAATGATGATGATGATGATGATGATGATGATGATGAGTTGATTAGAATGCCAACAAAAGAATCATGAAGACAAAGCCTGGTCTTAAAAGAGGATTATCTGCGTTTCTTAAGCTGTCCTTAACTGTATAAACGTTTGCATCCCGCTCATAGCGCATGCTTCCGACATATCAGCTTGAACCACCGGGAATTTTCCACTTTTTTTGGTGTGTCAGTATAACTATACTGACATACCAAAACACCACTATAAATATACTGATGTCGATGTTTCAAATAACGTTCCGGTATTTGAGGGAGTGGGTGTGTCTTCGGATATGAGGCCGCTAATAGAGATGAGAACTTGGGATGAGCTACCTGAAGAAACTGGAATATTATTTCAAATGTATTTCTTTAAACACGATAACGTTCGTTATTGTAAAATGGCACCCCAACCCGATAGGAGGTTGCCGCGGTGTTGGATGACAATGTGAAAAGACTGGCGGTACCGGGCTCTGCTTTCCACAATGAAGTCGTCCATCGTACCTATTCGTGCTGTCTTCCTACATTGAATTCGTACCAACTAGCCCAATTTTCTATCCCACGAATGTTATATGTTTCATTGCACCAATACATATTGTATCCTGTAAACATTATTCTGTGACAACATCCGTTTGTTTCGCTTGATGCAATATTGCAAGTGGAAAGAAATTTGCTTGCGCGTAGATGCATATTAAATGATATTAGCACAGCTAAATATTAATGCAATTATTTATTGACCTGGACGAAATCACAAACAAGTCAAGATACTGAGGTATCACTATTTTGAGCAGTTTGTGATTTATATAACGCTTCCTGTGATTTACACGTCCTGTGACTTATATAACACATCCTGGTATAACACATCCCGTGTAAGAATATGCCTTAAAGTAAATTAATGCATAGCAAGAATCGAGATTATAATTTCCACCAAATCTATAAACATATCAGTTGCGTCAACGTAGCAAAATCGGTACCGGTGGGAGTGTTTACCAGTATAGCGTGCGTACGTACAGTGTCCAGCGTGTTAAAAGCCAGTTATCATACCTCGCCTTGGATATCCATTGTTCTGTAACCGGAGCACGCAGGATATTCTTCGTTGTCTTTTGTCGCGACGATATATGAAATTAAAATTCGAAACATACCTTTGAACATGGTTTATACAATTTTGGTGAGGCTGTCTCTAATTTATTTTACAACAGAGAAATGCGTGATTACAAAAGGAAACTAGGGAAAACAGTTTTTTCTACGCTGTAAAACAAACGCGAAATTCGGCGGCTGCACAAATCAAGCTTATGCTTTTACCAAACGGGCATTTAGGTGGGTGCAATATTGTACTGAGGAAATTTCATGGCGTAGTTATCTTACACTAAATTGAGTGTTGTGTTGCTGCGGTGTTTTGATTGAGATTCTTTTATGGGGGTCATATTCCGCTGATTGAATTGAGATATATTTTGCCAAACACTATGGCGTACGTGTGTAAGGTAGAGTGAGTTAGCGATGAGTGTAACTTTTGGCGACGACTTATTCTGTTGCCTGCAGCAGCTCGGGAAATGGCGCCCCAACATGCATTTATTGCTAGTTCGGTTGTCTGAGAAAACAACCGCCTTTGACTTTTGCAAGGTTGTCTCATTCTTTAAAAAAGAGAACTACGCCTTGAAATTTCCCAAGGAAAAATTCATCACCCAACAGCACATTCCGTGAAACTTCGACTCTCCCATGTGCAGGCGGCAATATTTCAGGTTCGTCTTACAACGTAGGAACCTCTGCGGCCACCCTATATAAAGCAACCAGCTCAGCGAAAAGATGAAGGAAAATGCCTGGAAATAAGTGTAGCAACTTTTCTTGATAAAAAGAAATAAGAAGAGGGTTCGAATAATGAATAGAGACCCTCCTCTGTGTAGTCAACATCATCGTTTTCAAAATCGAGTGCGAACGTGTTCGCGCAAGTTAAATCATTTTGGTAAAATTATGATTACCGATGTGGGGAACTGCATTTCGATTCATAATATTCACTGAGTATCGTTTCTTTACATATATACCTTCTATAAAATCTAAGAGATCCAAATTGAGACATACATATATTCCCGTCCTCTATTAAGTTTGCATTTCACATAAATTGCTCGTTTGGGCTGTAAGCGCGCTGGCCTTATTAAACTTCGTGAACATCTTTGAATTCCACAGAATATTTCCATGAATTTGCTCAGAGACTTGGGCCTACCAAATATTTATTTTTAAGTAATTAAGCTATTTAACTTTAAAACAAAACTTAACACTAGATAGAGATAGCCAAATTAGCAGTCCACACAACTTTTTACTTTAGGTGCGACCCAGCTGATGCTACATTCTGATGAAGTTAAAAAGCGGTGCAAAAAGTGCACAGTCGCGGCCCAAGTTGTCTTTGTGGGTTTGCTATAACCAACTGAACTAATCAAACTCACAAAAAACACAGCATCGCGGCGATTTCACACTGCGTGATTAGTTTAGTAGCTAATAGTGCTATACAGGATGTCTTCTTTTTAAGCTTAACATATTAGTTTAGAAAAAGTCCTGATATCAACACTAATGCTGTTTTCTGAAGGAAAATTCTACTGCCAAGGGGACGAAATATAGAGGGTAATCGTCGTGATCAGTCGAATAATTAACTCAAATTTGTTAATTAAGTTTTTAATTTGTGAAAATTGACAGTTGGTTCCAATTAGAAACTTGCTGAGCGTAATCAAAAACCGCTAAATTAGTAATATTTTTATAAAAACTTTGGGCGCGTGGGGAGCGTAGTATTGCGCTAAATCTACCACTCGTGCAAAAGGTACGACGCTAGGGCTATGATAAGAGACGGAAAAATTGCGCGGGCGCCTTATCGCACCGATAGCCTTGCTCCTGCTGTACGTGCGGGAAGTTTAGAGCACTACTGCTCTTCTTACGCGCTCAGAAGTCTTTCTAAAAAATACTGATTTAGTGTATTTCGATGACGCTCAGCAAGCTTCTAATTCGAACCATATCTCCATTTTCGATAATTAAAAAGTTCATTAACAAATTTTACTTCATTAAGCGACTACTGATCGTTACGATTAGCCCCCTATACTCTGTCCCCCTGGCAGTACAACCCACCATCGAAGCACTCACCAGGAGGTTGGCAACTTCCAGACTCACACTTTCCAGTGTACTTTACGTATTCTTCTGTTCCAAATGGAGCAACCTTAGCAAATATTATGTAAAACAAGTGTGACGAGAAAATATGTTTAAGAAACGGAAGGGAGTGTAATGTGCACAGCATCATAAATATTAGGTTTCAAACGCGTCCAACTAATATCTAAGCATATGCAAATGAACTTGAGAAAATGAGATAAATTAGTTAATTCATTCGGAAGTCACCTTGCATTTATAATTGTTGAATAATTATATAGTACATATCTTATCACTGTTTATTGCTTGTTGTTAAACGGGGAGAGAGAAGAGAAATCTTTATTCGAAGCGTCAGCCAATAGTCAGGCAATAGAAAGTCGTTCGTCAAGCAGAGCACAAAACACGATAGCCGCTTACCGAAAAACAAATTATTAGCTCTTCCACCATAAACAACGCAACATCAAGACGTAAGCACCGCTTTGCACGTAACGTGGTACATCTCCGTGTCTCCCGAGTTATTTCTCGTATCGGTTTTCTCTAACTCGCGTAGATAGCACCTGGTTTATTACTCAAGTTAAACCCAAGGACGTTAACATTCAGTAGTCGGCGGTCAGTTTGCTGTGAGGGGCACCGCGTGGGGTATAAATGTTGAGGCTGTCTGTCTGAAGTCAGGGGTGAATAAGGAACAAAACCTGTTCGAATCAAAACTAAAAATATTTTAACAAATTAATTGTATACACTCTATAATGATTGCAGTAGCCCACACATTACAGAAAGAGCTGAAATCTGCAAGATCTTTATAGAGGCTAACAAAAATACGAAGATGCATTAAGCTTGAGAATCTTGCATAATGCCCGACACCCTCGGAATCAAAGCAATAGTCGGGAGGTTAACAGAATGTCTTATTATACTCAAATGTAATAAAAACAATAGAGCAAAAAATAGAAATTATTTCTGTGAGATGCTGAAATTATTTGAAACTATTTTTATATTTTCCTATTCAGGCAGTTAAAGATTTGCTCAACCGGCTCGGGGACCATGTGCGACCAAAAATAATCAATGTTGCTTCAAGCGTGGGTAGGCGGTTACAGAAAAGATGAAGGCGAGGCCTGTTGGAGCAATGTTTTTAGATCTCTCAGTTTACATGCTCCACGTAAAAGCGTCGTTCAAAAACGGTTCTTTTCGACTTCGCGCAGGCGAGCAGGCACAGGCTGATAGGGTTCCTAGCGCTAAAGCTCCCCTATTGGCGACAGAGCGATCGAAAATGTCGCTCTGGTCAGCCCACCACAATTGGCCGAATGCTGAATATGACGTCACCAAAGGATATCAAATCGACGCAAATAAGAGGAACGTAAGAACTTGAATTTTGGCGGTGTGGGCAGTGTTACTTTGAGAGCGCTATGATTTCAGGTTTTCACCATGCTCATTAGAAACACCATTGAACTTGTTCTTCACAAGGTAATGACGTCACAAAAGGTAACCAAACAAGGGCGCCACCGAAACATCTCGCCGCTAATAGACCATAGTGCGAACTTCTAGCCTCCAGCGATAAAAATGAATAATAATGATCTAAAACGTAAATGCTTGTGAAGAGAGGGGATGCGCGTGAAACAAGAGTTCCGATTTTTACGGTACACTATAGGAATCGGTGTTGTTCTTAGAGCTCTGTAACAATGCATTTCTGACGTTCATGCATTACGATATGTGAGAAGGTTTCTAAAAAAAAGCAGCCTTCAAAAAGCGTAAACCCTTTACTGTGTAATGGTGTCAGCATAAACGAACATGACAGCACCCATGGAGCAGAGCAGACACTGGTCTATTAGCCCCGAGCGGGACAGATTGGAGCGCTGCAATCGCTCCAATTACACCGGTAATAACGTAAGCTTACGTTGTTCTCGGCTGTGGACCAAAATGCCCACCCATCGAACTGTTGTGTAATTGACCAAGGTTTTCAAGTACTTGCAGCACTTCGCATTGCGTGGTGTCTACTTGCCTGTAAATGTAACTTCCTTATACACGCGGCTCTGGCGTCAGCCGCTGATGTGGCGCTGCTGTCGGTGCGGCGTATGCGCACAAGCTTCACTTCTCGAGATTCTTTTTTGTAAGCTGTTTGTAAGCTGCGTGTTGGTCTATATACCTTTGCATCACTTATAAACCTGGCGAAAAATGCTGAGTCACCGAGCTATGGACGCATGCACAGCCTCTGATATGCCGCGCAGCAGACCTAGAGCGCATGCTCAGAAGGCGTTCCAGAGCCGAGCAGACAAAATGGCAGCGCGCCAAAGGCGATTTTTGCAAAGTTCTATACGCGTTCGTTTTTAATGCTATAGCGGTAAGGAACTCGTGTCGCAGAAAAGCCGGCGTCGGCGTCGGTATCGTTGTGACGGAAAAATCGTGATTGGTTGATAGGGTCATGACGTCACAGCCGCATGACCTCGCGCGAGAATTTCTAACAACCCACAACACTCACGTGAAACGGGATTGTGTCTTTCTTGTGTGGGCTGGTAAAAATAGACATCTCGGGTGTCAGGATAACACTGCCTTAGTTTATTCCGTGTTGTTACTTATATAGCCGAAGGTGGAAAGGGCTAAGTGTAGTAGAGGGCAAGGGAAAGGCACGTGGCAATGGAGCATACAGATAGCTTGTCCGCCTTGATCTGATACGATACATCCTCCTTCCCAACGGTCGTTCACCGCTGAGCTCAACACCTCTGGCTCGTTTTCTGGAAGCGCTGGTCATAACCCAATCGCTCCGGAGGCCGCTTCTGTCGTGTTGTCCTTCGCGGTGGCTGAACCGTTGGCTGCTGAGTTTCCGTTTGTAGAACCGTCGTAGTTGCCGTTTGTAGAGCCGTCGTGGTGGTTGGCGCTGTGGATGTCATTCCGTGTGACGAGGCCCGGTCGTCGTACGAATCTTCGTCGTCTGACAAGTCGACCTCGCATTCTTCCTTCGTCGCTAAAAGGTGTCGACGGTTGCGCCGAAGAACGGTATTATTCTCCGTACGCACGTAAAAGGACCGCGGCCCGGCTGATCTAACCACCTTGGCTTTCCGCGCCCACGACGCTCTATTCAGGCGTACCACGTCGTCGTTTTTAAGGCGGGGCAGCACCCGCTCGTTGTGGCCTGTCTGTCGGTGTTTCTTGACCGGTATCGCAGGAAGGGGATCAAAGTCCGGCACGGGTGTGCGCAGCCACCTTCCTTGCAGCAGCTCGCATGGAGACCGACCATCTTCGACAGGACATGCCCTGTAATTTAATATGCCAAGCCAAAAGCATTCGTTTGCAGCTTTCGTTTTCTTTAGGATGCGTTTGATTATTTGTACACCCTTTTCCGCGAGCCCGTTAGATTGGGGGTATTGCGGGCTGGATTTCACATGTTTTAAATCGTAATACTTTGCAAACAGCGCGAAATCGGGGCTGCTAAACTGTGGGCCGTTATCTGAGCATACCTCCGTTGGGATGCCGTATCTCGAAAATATAGCACCCAGTCTGTCAATAACCGAGCTGGCTGTTGTGTCGGGTAGCAGCTCCACCTCTGGCAAATTGAACATCGAATCGTAAACTCACAGATAGTGTCTTCCGGAGTACTGAAAGAGATCGACACCGACACGGTACCATGGTTGAGTAGGCGTCGGTTGTAGAATCAGAGGCTCTGATGGTTGCGTAAAGGCATATGTTTTGCAGGTCGGACAGCTTTGGATCAACGACTCGACGTCAGAGTTTATGTTCGGCCAGTAGACAAATTGCCTAGCCCTAGCTTTGCACTTTACCGTGCCAAGGTGGCCTGCGTGAATCCTCTTTAACATCTCTCTGCGCATGCTCGTGGGAATTACTACTTACGTTATTTTCAAAAGTATGCCGTCTACTACTGAAAGTTCGTCGGCAAATGATTTCAGCGCGCCTTCCACTTCGTCTCCTCTCCCGAGCTTTCGTAGTACTACGCAAAGATACGGATCAGTAGCGGTTTCGTGTGCAAGTTTCGCAGCCGTTTTTTTTCACTTACGAGTGCTGATACGACTGTGACGGCGTGGATTTCGACGTCGCCCGTGTCTGCGGCCCCCTTGTTCCCAGGACCAGGAGACCGAGAAAGCATATCAGCCAGGGCCATCTGCTTGCCAGGAACAAATATCAACGTGTAATCGTATTTGAACAATCGTAGGAAAAAAAACGTTGCACTCTTGGCGGCATATCGGCTATGCCTTTCCTTGATATGTTTATCAGCGGGCTGTGGTCGCTCTCGAGTATGAGTGGGCGACCATACACAAAATGGTTGAACTTCTCGCAACCGAAAACCAACGCCAAAGCCTCTTTTTCAATTTGCGAATATCTCTGTTCCGATTCACTCAGCGCTCTCGACGCGTAAGCGACCGGTTTCCAGCAGTCCCCATGACCTTGTAGGAGCGCGGAGCCAATTCCACTTTGAGATGCCGTCTGAAGTTATCTTCGTCTCCAAACGTAGGTCAAAAATAGCAAGCAGCGGCGCCTCGCTTAGCTCCTGACATATGGCTTGTCATTTGTTTTCATGATTAGGTGTCCATTCAGAAATGACGTCTTGTTTGATCAGGGAACGCAGAGTCGAAGTGCGCTGGGAAAGTGACGGTAGATACTTGCTAAAATAGTTAACAACTTCGAGCAACCTTTGTACTGCCAATTTGTCTTGTGGCTTTGGCATTTTGAGAAGACCGTCCACAAGGGCGGGATTGAGGCTAATGCCTTTGTGGCTAATGATGTCGCCCAGGAACAAAATTTCTTGAACGCCGAATTGGCATTTGGATACATTAAAAGTTAGGCCCGCTGCTTCAGCTGCCTTTAGTGCATCGTGCAGCTTCTGGTCGTGCTCCACCCTAGTCGCACCCCAAATCAGCACATCGTCCACGTATATACGTATGCAAGGAAGGCCCTCGAACACTTCGTTGAGGGCTTTTTGAAACACCTCTCTAGCTGACGCTATGCCGAATGGAAGGCGTAGAAAGCGATAACGGCCGAACGGCGTGGCAAACGTGCATATCTTGGATCATTGCTCGTCCAGTGGGATTTGGTGAAACCCTACGTTTGCGTCTAGGCGCGAGAAAAACTTCGCGCCTGCCAAGTCCGCTTCAGTATCTTCTCTAGGAAGCATTTGGTAGTGTTCTCTTTTCAGTAGAAGCGTATGCACTTGGGCTAGTTGGTGATCCATGTTTGTGAGGGTAAAAGCGCTAAAAACAACAGACAAGTAAAAGAAACGTACAACACAGAGCGCTCTGCGTTGTACGTTTCTTTTACTTGTCTGTTGTTTTTAGCGCTTTTACCTTCTCTTTTCAGGTTTTAATTAATTCTTCTCGGATCCATGCATACCCGCAACTTACCGTTTTTTTAGTACAATGACTAGCGGGCTTACCCAGTCTGTCGGGCTGCTGACCTTCAAAGTGATGCCTTCGCGTTCCATTCGGTCCAGTTCTGCACGAAGAGGCTCTCGCAGCAACAGGGGAACCCTTCGAGCTGGCTGAAAGATTGGCACGGCGTCCTTGCATAGCACCATCTTGTATTCCTTCGGGGTACGCCCGGTTCCGTGGAAAAGCTGCGGGAATTCCTCGACGACTGCTTCGGTGTTCCGAAGCCATATGTCAGGAGCTAAGCGAGGCGCCGCTGGGTTTCAGCGTCACGGTCTTGAACTTGCGGGGCACCGATAGTGGTAACACGTTAGCTTGTGACCCTGTGTCAACTTTGAAACTTAGGTGTTTGCCTTGAAAACACGCGTCCACCAGTCAGTCGCGTTTTTTGTTGGCGCTGCCGACTGCGACATCCAGCACCTCGAAGTCGTCGTTTTCATGCTGTACCTCGTAAACGGCATCTTTCTCGCGGCAACAATATGCGAAGTGGTTCCGCCCATTGCACGAGTAGCAGTTCTTTCCGTATGACGGGCAGCGTCGCAAGGCATGCCTTCGATTGCAGCGCGTACAGTTCGGGTTGCGCCGGGGGCTTGTCGGAGCGTTCTTGGTGGTCTTCATAGCGTTAACGTCGAGTTATTCACTTGTCTTACGCCAGACTTCATTTTAACGAGCCGATGTTTCTGCCGCCTTGCATAAAGTGATGACCTTTTCCAAGGTCAGGAATTTGTCCCTGAGCATCTTCTCTCGAAGCTTCGGCAAGTTGGTTCCAAACACCACTTGGTCGCGTAGCATCTTGTCTGCCATGGTCCCGAAGTTGCAGTGCTGCGCTTGTCTCTTCAAGATACGTAGAAACTGCTTGAACGGTTCCGCCTCGCCCTGCAGACGGGAGCGGAAGACATATCTTTCGTGAATTTCGTTTTGTTGCTCCACGCAGTATTCTTCGAATTTGGCAGTCACGGTGGCGTAGTCTTCTTTGTTTTCTTCCTCGGTGAACACAAAATTGTTGAACACGTCCAAGGCTTCCTCTCCCGCCACGCTGAGCACCAGGGCTGTCATTGCCGCCTCCGATCTCGGCTTGTCGGTGCTTGCTGTGGCTTGAAAGAAAAGGTCGAACCTCTGACGAAACAGTTTCCAGTTTCTTCCTACATCAGCTGTCAGTTGTAATGGTTCAGGCAGCCTTAGGTGCTCCATGACGTCGACCTTCACGTTCGGTTCACCCAGAAGCCTTTCTTTCTCGCTGGTAGGCTCATCCCACTTCTGACACCATGTATCGTTCTTGTGTGGGCTGCTAAGAATAGACAACTCGGGTGTCGGGATAACACTGCCTTAGTTTATTCCGTGTTGTTACCTATATATCCGAAGGTGGAAAGGGGTTAGTGTAGTAGAGGGCAAGCGAAAGGCACGTGACGATGGAGAATACAGATAGCTTGTCCGCCTTGAGCTGATACGATACAGGGACGTCACGCGTATAATGAAAGTGGTTAAAAAACAAGCCATGTGATGTGAACCAAAGGTCGCCGCATGTCTCAAATGATTTCGCTTAATAAAGCAATGAATTTGCCTTAAAGAAGAAGCATTCTAGGCGAGATTCGAACCTAAGACCCGTCGGCTGCAAGCCAGACCAACACAATCCCAACACAATCTAGATGAGCGGAAGAACTCCTCCGCACCGTCATCACAGTCAGATCGATCGAAGCCTGATATTGGGCACGAGTGCTGCATCAGTGTTCGGCCGGGGCTCGTGTTCAATGCGGAGGGCAAGTTCGTCTGCTTCTTGCGCAGGTGGTACCGGAGGTGTCAGAAAGCCCAGCCCTAATTGGCTGATCGCAACCGCCTATCTGAGCGTCGTCTGCTCCTTTGCAGCGTCGTCTGCTCGCAACGTCGTCTGCGTCTGTCTTACCTTTCCTGCGACTTTCGGAAGTGCAGAGGCCAGATTCACGAAACGACCTTACGCCAAAAATGTGCGTAAGACAAAACTTAAGAACAAATTCGTATTCACGAAACGAAGTTTTCGTAAGTTTTGCGCAGGTTACGACGAAATCCTACGACAGCTCCGTAGCTGTCCTACGGACTTAAAAACAAATCAGCATGGGCGACAGCGTCGCGGTCGCGACGACCCACGGACGTTTATTTTTCTACGTGCGCTTCTCACGCGTCCGGACTTCAAGCAGCAAGAAAAAAGTAAAAAGTACTTGAAACAGACCACCACGAACAAGAACGCTGGATCCACAAACACTCGGGAAAAGCCCTAACGGCCACGAGTCCACCGAACGCGACCAAGCGAGCTCGGCAGTTAGGCCTAGCAGACACTCCGCGACTCGGGGACCGTCTGCCCACGACCGGCTGGCGTGCTGAATGGAATATGCCCGCGCGACCCTTGTGGACCCTTCCCGTATTATACTTTGATCGCTGACCTCATTTTTAGATTAAGAGGTCAATTTCTTACTCTTGTTATCTCCTTGTTTCCCGAAGCAACGGTGACTCTCGCCGGTGAAAAAGCGGTGAATCTCCGACAGACGCAGGAAAGGTAAAGCAGCCATCGTTTTGACTAGCACGTAAAGCAGACGACGTTAACCGCGCCAACCCGCCGACGCCGTTAAAGAATGAGGGGTCTCGCCGCACACGAAAGGAGGGAGATAGTATTTGGGAGGGAACTTGCGGGACACCAACACGCTCACTCTCGCTTCTTAGCAAACTAACCTCGGCGCCTCGGGACACCTCGCCAGTGAGTCCTTTGACTTCTCTCCTTGATGCGCGTCTGCTAGTTACAGACAAAAACAACGGACCGCGCGAGTTATTTCGTCTGCCCTCTCTGGAAGGCCAAGTCGAGCTCGATCGTAAAGACCTGCACTTCCGAAGGTCGCAGGCTAGGTAAGACGGACGCAGACGGCGTTGCGAGCAAACGACGTTGCAAAGGAGCAGACAACGCTGAGATAGGGGGTCGCGATCAGCCAATCAGGGCTCGGCGTTCTGACGTCACCGCTACTCCCTTTCTCATGCGCAGAAGACGAAAATGAGGCCACTTGCGAGGCGTATTAGCGCGTCGAAGGTCGAACTCGGCCCATATAGCCGAGTCAGCGCGATCCGACTGTGATGATGTTTTATGAAAGGGAGGAGGCAATCCGTAGGCTTTGATTATTCTAGGTGGTGTTTGCCAGACAGCCTACTGAGTAGGCCATATCCGCCGCACTTCCTGCTCACTGGCAGGAAGAGCATGAGAAGCGAATGAGAAGGCGTGCGAAGGGGCCCGATAACGCTATCGCTTTCCACTCCTAAGGGGAAGCTTAGGCGTTTTCCAAGTTTTATTTTACACTAAGGAACTACTCAGAAATTACGATATTCAATGAAGTGAACATCATAATTTAAAGTCAACCTCATCAAGAGATCGGGACACCGACATAGTTATTCCGTGCAGTACAACTATTCGGAGATGGTTCACAATAATTATTTTAAGAGCTAGATATCATCCGTGTTTATTCATTGTCTCCGTTTGTTCTGTCGTCCGTATTTATTCATTGTCCCCGTTTGTTCGCGCTTTTTTAACCCTTTATTCAGTAATGAACCAACTAGCCCAAACCCAAGTTTCAATCCATCATGAACTGAATGCCGAAAAACATCTGCGTCGGCATTATTAACCTGTCTCGTGCGCTCTTTTACGTTTCTTTTTTTATTCAAAGCTCGAGTTTCGCATAAAGTCGTGGAACTTTGTTGGCGTAACTCAATCCGCCATTCTAGATAAACCGAAGCGTCGTGTCGTGTGCCTTGGTCGCAACTGATAACAGTTTGGAAGGCGTCTAGCAAAAGAGTATTATCTTTATTTTTTATGCTATAACAGCTCTGGGATAGCTGCAGACTACGTTGAAACTAATGCGAATGCTGCAGACTGATGTGATAGATACTGACAATGTTGAAATGCTTCTGTATTTTAATGTAGTCAGCAGTAGAGAACAGTAGGAAGTAGGAACACAGCCTTTTTTTTTACCCGGACGATTTTGCGTTTTTATTAAAGCGCTTACAGCATCCTTTCTTCGCAATAACATCGATTTATATTTGCTTTTTCTTTAGTAACTTTTAAAAAAGGCTTGCTTGGACCTTCATAGGCTCAAGAGCTGATTGAGAACATAATAAGCAGAACCAGAATTGGAGGAAAAACATATTGTTCAAATGAAAGGGAAAAGAGATCTGCTTTTCTGGATCATCAAGGCATTTGATGAGACAAAATATGGAACGGGACTGAAGTCGAAACCATGTTCTCTCTTCCGTTCCTTGTTTTTATAATATATCATTTCCTATAGTTCAAAAAGTTCTGAATTTAATGGGAACTTTTTTATGCACCTGCTCGCCACCCCTCTGTGGTAAATTTCAGGCCGGGTCTTGCATGTAAAACTATTTTATTCGATATTTATTTAATGTGTGCGAGATTTTTTTTTTGCCTGATTGTGCTTGTTTACTACACTTTCAGGTTTAGTTATATAAAAAGTAAAATATCTTAATGTTTCTACTGGATTATAGAAACCAGATATATGTAAAAAAGAAATACTCACGTTGCATAGTCTTTGGTCAGGAGCATCTTTCAAATTGGAAAACCCCTCACATTTCACCAAACAATATTCGAGCACTGAAAACTGAAAAAAAAATGCAATAATAAAAAAAATACAATCATTCTGGAGCGTGTGACTAAACAATTTTACCGTCACGTGAAATCCCAGTGCCTAGTAATGGTGCCATATAACGTTCCGTTAGTGGATGCCATGACACGTTAAGTGATCTCATAGTACGTTTCTTTACGTTCAATTACGTTCATTCAGTGTCCCGTAGCGTTGCGTAATGTTGCGTTACGTCGTGTACGTCCCACAACGTCACTTAACGTCAGATGACCGTTGTATTGATATGCCCTGCCATTGGCAATGCGAGTACAAGTTTCTGTGAGTATTTGTTGCCCTATTAGAAGTTGGAAAACAGTTACTCTGAGACATTAAAATATTTATGGGACACCCACTGTGAAGTTCTATAATAAAGCTACATCGCGTTGCGTGAACTTAGCAGGCCTCAAAATAGGGTAAAACGTGTCGAGGAGTGAACTTAGAAGACATGCAACGAATGACGACAGGGCCGGATGCTTTCAGAACTAAAGCTTCCTAAAAATGTTGGTGCCGTGGGGAGAGGATTTTATTATCGTAAAAAAGTGCCGAAATGCGACGGGAGATGCTGCGATTATGCAGAGTGGGACATAACTCTCTGTAGGGGTAATGTTGCAATCATATTTGTGAGCACAAGAGCAAACAGTCACGACTTAGCTAGTGTTTCACTTCAGCGGTGGGAACGATAAACATATAGCGCTTAACAAAATAACAGTGAATGTGCAGCCGAGGCGATGATGAATAATCATAATCTAACGTCTGAGACTGTTGCGGAAAATTGAGAAACTTTCAAGTCGAAGAAAGAGACAACAGTAGGAGAACCATTTTTTGATAAATTGCTTCCTCGTTTTTGGCGCGCCATTCGGCTGAAGTTTGGACACGTGTTCAATTAATGAAGCACAAATTCAACCCGGGACCCGGCAGACGAGTCCAACATGCGCCCAACACTCAATCGAGACTGATAAGATAATGATCCATTTCATATGCCCTCTGCTGGTCAAACAGGTTACCGTGTAGCTAACAATTTGGACAAAGCATCCCCTATACTCTGTTTCATACTTAGTGTGCAACGCTGTCGAAGCTAATGGCGCGAGCATGGGGGCTTGATCTCGTTGATCATTTGCACGCGTTCTCACGCAAACAACACCATAGATGAAGCCTCGCGCTCGTGCCAGTAGCTTAGACAGTGTTGCGCACTTAAAATGAAACGGATATGCAACTACTCGAATTCACTCACGACATTCACTCCCATATGAACAACCACACCCAAGCTGATGCTGTCTTCTTGAACGTTTCGAAAGCTTTTGATCGGGTCCCGCACGGTCGCCTTTTGACAAAACTTGTGTCCTTAAATCTTGATTCTCAGGTCCTCTCCCGGATTCGCGGGTTTTGTTACTGTTAACGGTAATTCTAGATCATCTGTAATTGATGTGGGGTCGGGTGTTCCACAGGGCAGCGTACTGGGACCACTTCTCTTCTTGATATATATCAATGATCTTCCTAACCGTGTCAAATCACAGATTAATTTATTTGCAGACGATTGCGTAATATACAGACAAATCAAGCCACACGACGACCACCTTGTTCTGCAACAGGACCTGCATACTATTGACGTTTGGTGTAGAGAGTGGCTCATGGTCCTCAACGTCTCCAAACGTAAAACAGTCCCTTTCACTCGTAAACGGATCGTATCCTCATTCCCACACTCATTGAACAATGGACTCTTGACACAATCACCCCACTACAAATACCTCGGAGTTTGTTTTGCTGCGGACCTTTCCTGGCCCACTCATATCCGCGCAATTACGGCGAATGCAATTACGGTGACGAGATGAGCTTCTGCTCGTCTCGTCGCCGACGAACATGCCGCCGCCTCCAGCATCCACATCGTTGGCGTACACCACTTTGGCACCTGCCCGTCCACGCAAGTACAACGTAGACGAACTATGGGAGCGGGACGACGAAAAGCATGCCTTCGCATTCACAACTCGTAAGAAGTGCTTAGGTGTACCTCGAGTATTTTTCTTATCTAATACATTATCTTTGTAAAGTAAGGTGTTTATTAACACATATCGCGTCACTATATTTCATACAAAGTATTTTTGTGCTTCACGGAATATTTTTTTTTTAAGTTACATAATGTTGTTATGTTACATAATGTTGTCGGTTACATGACGTTGTCGGGCCGGGTGAGTTATACAACCTGGAAGACATAATATACGTGGATAAAAGTCACAATATGTCGGTTAATTAACAGAAAGAGTGCTACATGACTTTCTTAATTATTGTTAACAAAAATATGGTTTAACGTAAAAACTGTCTGAACGTCATGGAAGAACATTCAATAAGTAACTTTTGAAAGATTTGGGGCGTGTGGGAAGTGCGGCTGTGCGGTAAAGGTACAACTCGTGCAGCAGTCAAGTGCCAGCGGTGCGAAGACGCGCCCGCCGTCGGTATTCCGTCTCTTATCTACGTTTTTTGCACCGCCAGCATGGCGCCCATTTTAGATAGACACATCTACTTTTTAGACTCCGCTGTGCGTGCCTAAAAGCCTTGCTCGCCTATGACGCAGGAAACAGATCCAGCGTGATTATACAGCCCATGAAAATATGCCAGCCAATAATTTGTAGTTTTAATGTTGCACACAAACAAAATTTGCTTTGTCTTTTCCCTTTTGTTTTACGAATTGAAAGGGTTTTCAATGAGATGTGATTATATATATATAGGCAAAAGTAAGGTGCGCAGACAGAGCAGCCGTTTGATGATAAAGTCAAAATATAATCTGATGACGAAAAAAGTCGTCCTATTTTAGTCCTTGTTCAAGCATTTCTCAGTCCCTTCTCGTCTTTTTACTCTCTTATTTCTGTCAAGTCGTCTTCTTTCTTACTGCCCGTTACACTCGCCCCCCCTCCCCTCCGGTAGAGTGTACGTCCAGGACAAAGTCTAGGTACTCATGACGCGTCGCGGAAATTTTACCTGACTGCGATGAACTGTGAGAACGTTGGGTGTCTTCCTCGTGGTAGAAGTCTAAAGTGTTCTTCGAGGCGTTGTGTAACAGGGCCAAGCTGCCTACTTATTTTAAAAGGCCCGGAGTACCTTGAAAGAAGGTTTTATGACCGCTGTGGAACATTTGGAGTATCTCCTGAGAAGTACCAGGTCGACTGGTTCAATCAGCGGAGCTGAACTGATGAATTGAAGCGCTATGCGAGCTTCGACTACTTGTGTAGAATAATGAGCCGAGCTCTTTCCCGTGCCTCGCATAACCCCTTCGAGAGACTGTTGCTATACTGTTGGCCTAGGCGAATCCACGCCGCGTCTATTGCTGACTCTTCCGGCAGCGTTGGAAGTTGTCCTTAAAGCTCACCAAAAGGAGATTCACCCGTTGTTTCATGAAGGCACTGTTCAATGCGAAGGCCGTCGCTCCAACGTACCGATCCCAGTCTTTATGTGACGTGCTCACAAACACAGCCAGAATATCCCCAGGGTGCGGTTGGTCCTCTCAACGAGACCGTTTCGTCTGCTGATGGTATGATGAATCTGCGACGTGTTGAATCCGCACTCACGTAGAGCGCCCTCAAAGAAGTCTGAGGTCACCTGAGCAGTTCTTATGAGTTATGAATGGGAAAGCATGGATGTTGTTCTTCCGCCCCCTTAGTCGTGTGCAGCGTAGTGGCGTGGACGGCCACGCTTCGCCACTGCCGAGGTAGCGGCCGACGGCCGAGCGCGCTCTCGTGAAGTGGCTTCGCCGGGCTGCGCTCGGCCGTGCAGCCTCTCCGGAGTCTGCCCGAGTGGGCTGTGCGGCCAGGCCAGCACCGCCGCACATCTTACCAGCGGCCGGGCCGCTGGGTGCGCTGCGCCGCCATAAAAAAAAAGTAACTTCTCCGATGGCTTTTTTTTTTTTAACAACGTCGCGCGAGAGCCGATGAGAGTGTCGTTCTTTGATGACGCGCGCCAACCAACGGGAGCGTATCCACCAGATTTCTGCTACAGACGAAAGTCTTCGCTCCATTGGCACAGGGGAAGGTGCCGTTTGGCACGGCTTCAAAGCTGATGACGTCGGCTCGATCCATGTGACCAGTTAATGCTTTCGCATTAAAATCCTAATGGGAAGTAAGTTCGTCTGCCTGAGATTACTAGGAGTGGACGTCCATGTGGCAGCACAAGGTGGCGGTTCAAAAAGGCAACTAGGTGTGTTGATGAGGTGTCCAGAACGTCGCCCACTTCTACCCATTTCGTAAGGTTGCCCGTCGCTACGATGATATAATAGTTACCGTCCTGTGATAATGGAAATGGACCAAAGTGGACTACTGCCAGTTCAAATGCGGAGCGGGATAAAGGTATTTGTTGAAGTTCTGGCTTCACTGGATTTCATGGAGTTCTCCTAAGTTGGCACATGGTGCATGACGCTAAGTAGTTTCGAACATCACCTCTGAGTCGTGGCCGCCATAATCTTTCTGGAACCTGGACTAACGTCCTGTGCTGACCCAGACGACCTGCAGAGGGCGCTTCATGACACATTTCCAGAATCCCATGTTGTTCCTACTCAGGGGCAACCGGAAGAGATGGTAGAGATGGCAAAGCAAGCCATATATCATCTTGTTGTGCGCTCGTAAGCGGCGCATGAGCCTTTTAGGAAGTGATGGCGACCCATTGGCTTTTTATGTGAGTACGTAACTAAAATGTTTCGATATCATCTGATTGGGCTGTTTGCAGGTCCAGCAGTGCAAGAACTAGAGAGGCGGGGCGTCCTTCGTTGTGTTTCTAGAAAGAAAATCATCATCTTGATGCTGCTTTCCGCTTCCATAGAAAATGAAGAAATTGTATTTCTGCAGTTTCATGAACCATTGTGTTAGTTTTGGTGTGTGGTCGCTTTTGGATTTAATCCAATACAGAGCCGCATTGTCCGTTACCACTGTAAAACAATTTCTGTATATGTACAGATGGAACTTCTCAAGTGCCCAAACAACAACGAGACATTCAAGTTCTGAGAAGTGATATGGTCTTTCAGGTTGACAAAGCTTATGGCTGGCGTAGGTGACGGGACGTTCCACCCCAGAATGATCCTTTTGAGAAGAACAGCACAGAGTCTCTCACCACTTGCGTGCGTTTGGATAAGCGGTGGATCGGTTTCCAAAAAAAAAATGGTCTAGGGTAGGTGGTTCAAGGAGCGCCTTTTTAATGTCAGTGAAAGACCCAACCTTCCTCGTACTACACCGCCACTTAGTGTCCTTTCTACAGCACAGCTATTAGGTGCCCGTTTTCGGCTTGAGCGTCGTCGCCGTCGCCGTCGGCGTAACCGCGCGTTGCATTTAGAAACGTTTCCCATAACGATGTCACATGTCACGTGCAGCGTCGCATGGGTCACGAGTGACGTCACGATGGTCACTACGGCCACAAGTGATGTCCCTCGTAACCGCGCGTTGCATTATGGGACGTTTTGCGACCTCCACAAGGTAACTTGTGAAGGTCGCAACATAGGTCACGACCTTCACAGTGAAGGTCGTGACCTATGTGACCTTCACTGTGACACTTGCGAACTCCACAAGGTAACTTGTGGAGGTCGCAACATAGGTCACGACCTTCACAGTGAAGGTCACGTGAAGGTGACGACCTTCACGAGGCCTTCAATAGTGACGTCCGGAGCGTCATGAGGGAGGGAGGGTGAGGAGGGGGGATGAGGAGTGCGAGGAAGGGATGAAATATGAGGGAGAGGGAGGAGGGAGAGGAAGAGGAAGAGGGGAGGAAGAAGAAGAGGAACCGCGGGCGCAGAGAGGCGCTCCTATAAGAAACCAAAACCTAGAAACGGGTCCAAATTAAGCGTTTTTATGGAACGCCGTAATATACTGCTCCTGCGTTATATCCTTCTGAAAAGAGTTGATTTAGTTGTTTTTGATAACGCTGAGCAAGTGTCTAATTGAAACCATATGTCTATTTGCATTCATTGAAAAGTTAATGAACGAATTTTGATTAATTAGCCGACTGGTTGTTACGATTAGCACCCTATACTGCGTCCCACTGGCCGCATAACTCTCCTGCACAAACCACTCTAGTGGAACTTTCTCGACTTTTTTAAAACAAATCTGTAAGTTAAAAAAGAACAGCCTGTATATATGTGTATGTATACAGGGTGTTTCACAAAAGGTGGACAAATTCGGTATTGCGAAAGTTACGCATCGCACCAAGAAAGGCTCTTGTCGTTTCGGTCCAAGGTGTGGGGCCTATTTAGGAAAATTATTAAAGATCGGGATAATTGAGTTGTTAATTATTTTCTCATAATTAATTTAAGGAATTGGTTTCAATAAAAACCTTGCTCAGCATCATCGAAAAAGAATAAATCAACAAAAAACAGAACGATAGAAGGCACGTACCGTATTTTATAGCTTTTTAAAAACCGTACAAGTTCGACGAGTTGTTAAGTTTCTGTTTGTAGTTGGAGCGCTTTTCGGCAGTGACGATAACACACCCCGTCAAGAAATAGTAAAACCAGCCTCTGCTGCGTTGCGCGAAGACAGCGCAGCAGAGGTTGGTTGCAAATGCCTGAAAGGGCCATCTTCTAAGATATCTAGGGAATCACTCCTCCCCGTAGGGATAGGCTGCACCGTATATTTAATGACAATGAATGAAGATTGACAAGCTGCAGCCGTAATAATATTGTGAACAAAGAGGGGAGAAACTGATTATCATATTTATTGCATTAAAGTTAGGAAAAGCGAAAGCGAGCTGCCGAAAATTGCGCCAAAAGCGGGGATTGAACCCGCAACCTTCGCCTGTCCGGGGTGATGCCTTAACCGACCAGCAACGGCGGTCGTCTACCCAGTTAAGCGAATTCGCAACTAACAGTACACGCAGAGAGCTGGTCAAAGCTTAAGTCCGCCGAAACCAGTGATCGGGATGGTCTAATCGGTTCAATTCCTGAGACGCCTGTGAACAACATTTCATAAAAGTTTACAAAGAATGTACTTGTAGGCAATAAAGAAAAAGCTCCCAAAAAGAGTACTAAAAGCCATGAAAAGACACAACTCAAAATTTATGTTATAAATGCGCGTGATTTTATGCTTACTTAACACCTTGCATTTCTCTGCGACCAATGTACGCTCTGTGGATGATACAATCTTAGTCTGTAAAGACAAGGAAGGACTACTCACATCTTTTGTGACCTTTAGCATAGAGGTATTGCAAGTTGCATTTATTGGCACTGTTGTTTTGAAATCATCGCCTGTAACCAATATTAACCATAGAAATTAACAAGATTCACACAATGTGAAAGTTTATCTTAGCTTTGAAGCGAAATTTTGCAAGATTGCTATGAATTGGTTCCGGCCCACTTTTTTAATCTTTTTTTTTATTTTCATGAACGCTTCAGGGGAATGTAATTTGTTCGTAAAAACTTATTTTTCATTAAATTATTGATTGCGTTAAACAGACAACTTGGATCGCAACAGATATCATGAATGTTTGTTAAAACATTACTCTCGTGGCCTCCTTCTTCCCTTTCCGGATAAAATATTTTTATGGACAAAATAAATCCCGACAAAAAACTGGAACTTCTTGGCACTTCGACGCTTCATTAAACGATGTTCTCTTTTATTTGGAACTTTTTGACCCTTTATTGTCTCCTTAGTTTGTTTATTTTTACAAGCCTTTTAACTTGAAAACAAATTAAGATTTCCGCAGTTTAAAATTGTAATAAGTGAACATTTCATTTAATAAAACTTCGAATAAGCAGCTGCAGGCAATGTCAACACCACCCAAAGCATGGTCTTCTATACAGAGATATCTAATGAAATATGCGGCACAGTATTGTTTGGTGAGGTCGGGGCTAGTTCGGAGCTACGGGCTACGGGCACTAGCGACCCTCGGTGGAGCTAGAAAGCCTGTATTACAGAGAGTTTCCAACAGGTCCATTGGGGTCACGCGGTCGTTCCTCCTCGCCACGCATGAGCCCTTGAGACTAATCTCCGCCGGAGGCTTCCGCCATTAAATTGCAACCGCTTCCCATGGTTTCAGGTGGACCGTCTCATCAATCTGGGCTGAGTAGGTGGAGCAGACGCCGACATAGATTAACACTATGAAATGCTCAGTTCGCTTTGTACTGCGCCTATTCTCTCCCTGATCTGAGCGATTGTAACTCGCCAACGATTTTCAGTCCCGGAGCAGAGACGCGTTGCGGTGACGATCATTTGTGTGTGCTGTTTGAGACAATGTCAGCTAATGCAGTTCTCAATACCTACTTGGAAAACGCTTTGGTATACATTTCCACTGGAACCAGCGATAGGTCCCACCAGGTTACTCCTTCCACGAATGGAAAAATAATAAGGTTTGGGGGAAGCACGGTCAAAGAATAAAGCTAGTTTGATGGTTGCATCCTATATTATCTGGAGGATGGTGGGTGCACTGTATTTACTTAATAATTGAACGAAAGATAAACAGAGCCTCGGAAAATGTGATGACGGAAGCGTTTTCGCTAAAGTTTGGCTGCGGTACTGAGATTCGCCCAGCGCTTCCTTGTCAAGTAACTACATCTATTCTCAGCTGCACTTCTGTCTTTTTTTTTATACACTTTAAAACACATAATTTGCTACTTGTTGCAGTCAACGTGCACTGGGGAGAAATATTTATTCATGCAAAAAATATCATAGAATCTCTCTCAGTAAAGTTGCATCAAAACACACATTCCGGGCTTCTCTTTTGTAACTTTGAGCTAAAGACCTCGAGAACACATTAGCCAGGTCATACTCGTCCATCGCATGAAATGTGTAGTTAGCGAAAACAGGTCTGTGAGACAGAGCAGGAATGCTGCAGTAATTGTCGGTAGACATCGGTGGAATCGCAAATTAAAACTTTAAAGTTCGCCAGTACACAAACAGCGTTCTCGACGGCTTCCGGCAGTGGTTTCTGTAAGAACTCGCCTCTTGTTCCGAATCAGCTCAGCCTACTTTTTTAAGGCGTATAGCATACATACAAGTTGACTTGACGGGTACAAAAGCTTTCCTCGGCACTAGGGTCGCATCAGGTTATTGCTTAAAATGAACAAAAACTTTAATATTTGATTTTTTAAAGAATAAATAGGGAAATTTCTTTGAGCAATAGGTTAATATGGTTTAATTAAAAGATAATCACATGCTCATAATTTGTTTTCCCAACAAGCTCTCTGTCCGTATAGTACAGGTTGGGGCCGAAAGGACTAACACATTTTGCACGCCTTAAAAATATTCAAATTCCAAACGTACATACCCGAAATTGGGCATGCGAACGTACTTTCTCAGAAGTTTCATGTCTATTTCTTTTTTTACAGCTGAATTCTGAGGTAGTGAAACATTAAAAATAAAGAAAAATCGGAGGTTGCGTGTTTTTTTTTTATATTTCTTTTACAAGCCTGGTTTTTGTCTGCGAATTGGTTTATGAGCCTGCTCCGGGGTGGCTTGCTCTACACAGAAACTCTAGAACAATAAAGTAGAGGCTGGTGATGAGCAAGATAACCGCGATAACTAATACTTCTAACGGCATATATGAACAATGACCACCTAGGAACAAGCCCAAGAACCAGTGTACAGACGAAGAACATGCGGTATAAAACATTGGGAATGCACGACCGTTGGTTCTGCTCAATTTTTAATATTTTACCACTTCTTACTTGAGATCTTAAGAAAATTAGTCATAAAACGTGTTGTAAAACTACATTTGTGTGCCCAATTTCAGGTATGAGCGTTTAGAATTCAAATTGTTCAGGGCGCGCCAAACGTGCTAGCCCTGTACATCTGTACACATCTACATCAATGAAGCATTTGCTTTGGGCGTATTCATACGTTTCATATATTGTGATACTACCCTCGAATCTGTACAGATGACCCATACATTTCTCGCAAATGCGCGAGTTGTATTCAGGCCTGTCGCTAATTTGGAATCCGGGTTTAATAGAATACGTGGTGTGAGAGCGTTGCAACAATTATTCATTATCTAGGCTGCATATCAGGAAAGCCCATGTTGATTCATTAAAGGTAGTTGAATAATCGGTGTACACTGAAATGTATTTTTATATTCTTAGTCCTGGGGTATAAATCTTAAATGTCTTGCAAGAAAAGATGATCCAAACTTTTTTTTTTGGTATCACTTAAACATTGATTTTACGACAATAACCGTTTTCATGAAGTTTCGCAGCGGACGCTTACACGTATTTATTTTACGTACGTTGCGGTCTGTCATATTTCCTGGGAATTTTTCTGGAATATATATACATCAACTTATGTTACCAAAGAAGCTGGATCGCCCCTAGCGGCATGTTATCGGCGCTCCGCGTGCGCGTTGGGGTGTTGTCAAGAAGCGCGCCGTCCCCTGACAACGAACGTTGAAAGTGCGATGTTATTGGAGCGAGTCTCCGGGTTCTTTCTCACGTTGAAATTGTTGATTCTACATCTTCCTAGCTATGTCTGACTACATTAGTGGCCTGGGAAATATTAGAGAGTCTTAGTAGATTGTACGACGCAGAGAGCGGGTCCAGTAGGCGCGTGCTCAATCTATGCTTCTAAGTGACGGCGTGCACGAGCTCCTGCTATCAAAGCGTAGCTCTCGAGTACGGTCTACTAAAAGCCACTATTGGCAAGGTTCGTTACAACGTAAAACTTTGCGTGAATTTTAGGGAGTTTTAGTAGATCGCGTTTTCAGGACACGCTTTGCCCCTTCAATGCATGCTCTGCAGCGCACGCGAGCAGCGGTAGCGGGCCTTGGAAAACGACTAAACTCTCTAATAATCTCACGTGTGACGATTTATTCCGCGAAGACGCCGTAGATGGACGTTAAAGCCTGATCCACATAATAAAACTCTGCTCGCTATTTTTAATCGCAACGTCGCTCAAGCTGACAAAAAAAAAGCGTGGACAGTTGCTGCCATGCTTGACTTCAATACTTGAAATCGCAAGCAGAATCGGACCGTGTGAATCAGACGTAACAAGTCGGTGATGGCCACCGATAACAATGATGAACAACCCCATTATCTACCAATTACAGCAAGCCTACTTACACCAAACATCCTTCATATTAAAAAGTATTTTAAGGCCTGCACTAGCTTCTTCGCTATAAGAAGTTAAGCACGTTACCGTGTGACCTACGGGCCGTGTCATTTGGAAGGGGCACGGCGACAATTTGAACAAGCAGACGAGTTTGTACGAGCAGACGACAGCTTCAAATGTCAGACGGCCGTTTGAGTGTAAAGGCGCACTGGACCAGGGTAGTCCGGACTACTTGTAGGGTTTTTCATGTTATGTTGGAACAGAACGAAATAATCGGATGACCACATGTCTCCGTGAATTTAACAGAAGTCGTTTCCCGCACAAGCAATTGTGGCCCGGCGGCGTCTAGATTTCCCTTTTCATGGCATTTCTGTGTTTTCGGGCTAACCGGGCAGGCAGAAAAAACAGGTGAAAACTGCTTTTGATACATTTTCTGGCTTTTTTAGTACGGCCCCAGTAGTGGAGTTTTGAGGAGAAGGCAGGTTTCAGTCTGTTGTTCTCGAAAACAACGCAGGAATGTCCCGACAGCGTGGCGCCTTCCCCCGCACCCCAGATCGCAAGGGCGCCTGAAATGCCACCACCGCGGCCTGAACTAGGAGAGTTGAGTTGGTATATAGCAGTAATTTAATGGTATGTGCCGTTATGGCGTCACGCGAGCTTTTAGTTTCACATGAAAACCGTCCCCTATATTTAGCAGGACGTAAGTAAGCTAAAGTTAAACACGACAGTATGACTATATACAGCATTCTGCAGCATCTCAGCTGTCGGCAGAGTACGTTCGCAGTACGTGGCAAAAAACTGGGAGTTTTTGTATCCAGTAACGGAAACAAGGATAATGGGTTCCGAATGTGTCCGATCCAAATAGTTTGTTGATGCCTTTATAAAAACAAAAAAAATATCACTCATTTATTCAAAAAATTTGAAATTTTCGCTATGATAATATGTCAAAATAAAATAAGCACTTTTATATGTATAGGACAAACATTATTACATATTTTTATTCGGGTAACATTGAGAGTGTAGTTAATTAACTAAAGCAAAATGAAACATTTAATCTTGCTTTGGAATATTTTCATACTTTTAGCTACCATATAAACAAGGCGGAATTAAGAAGATTTTGAAAGCTCATGCAAAATCGGTATGAAATATTGCCGCGCGCGCAGCTGGCCAAGTAGGCAGCGCGCGCGTGGCCTAACGGTTATCGCGCTTG